GTGGAGCGGGTCCCCCCCGCCCCCCCCCCCCCCCCAAGAAAAATCATTTGAAGTTGCATTATAGAGGGAAAGTATCATCCTCTGTCTATTTTGCTGTGCTGGTCATGTTTATGAATGCCCTAGGAGAAACTCTGCAAACATTCCCACTGTCCTCTGCTATCAACCTTTGTTCAGAGGTGTTTCCAGAGTCTCTAATATGAAGCTCCATTCAGATCGATGTTCATCTTCTTTAGGTTTGGCTGTTTGACCTCCTTTGGGGCTTTCCTGGCTCACTTCTTACAATGTCATCCAGGTTCAGAACAAAATAATTGCTTGGAACATGCTCTAGTGCTCAAAGTTGGAGATTTTGAAATAAAAGTTGCAGTTTTCTGTGGCTGAGGATCCACAAGGATTACAACAGATTGACTTATCGGAAGATACTTAAATAGAATGTTAACTTCCATAGCCCAAGAGTCACAGACACACTAACATTGTCAATGTCTTGGCTAGGTTAGGTACCTATACTGCCTCAACCCCACGTTCCTTTTACAGACACTGAACTGAAGTACAGAGTAGCTAAGTGACTAGCCCAAAGTCATACAGGACATCCAGGGCACAGGAGATCTCAATTCAAATCCTTCTTATGTCCTAGGATATGGCTTTAACCACTGCACCATGCTTCCTGTCTGTTATTGCTCATTGAGCCCTCATAAATCCAGCACTACAGGTGGAACCTCTCTAGTCTGGCAGCTTTGGGACCTGACTAGTGCCAAACAAGAGAATTTGCCAAACCACAGGAGGTCAACATTGTATTGTGTGGATTTTTTTTTAATTTTACCGAGATGAATGAATTGAACAGCTCTTGCAATTCTGCTTAATAATGTATGGCTGTACTAATACACCCTGTATAATGAAGGGTTATCAGCTCTCTTCATAAAGTGTTAGTGGTGTATTAAAATTATGTAACAACATTGGCATAAAGAAATAAATAGATAAAGCATGACAAACATGCTTACATCTAGCAGCATTATCAGTACTTCTAGTCCTGGCTGGTCTCTTAGTTGACATTTAGGGTCAACTTAGAACTAAATAACATCACAGAGCACTGAGAGCCAAAACTGGTGGCTGTAAATAAACTTTACAGGACCATGCAAAATTTGACCAGATTCACGATATGTGGACATCTGGCTAACTAAAATCATGCCAGATCATGGGTTTTGCCAGACCAGAGAAAGCTGGACTAGACAGGTTCAACCTGTTGCTACTTCTATTCACCTATCTATCCAAACTTTGCCATCCGGTTGTCGTGATTTCAAGAGTAAGAACACCTTTTGAGGTATTTCTTCCCATAGGCTGACTCTCACTGAAGGCTCTATTCAGTACAGAGAAATGCCCCCAATGCAACTTAGGATGTTTTCAGACACAAGTAAAAATAAGAAATCTTTGTTGAGATATTCCATGAAATGTAATACTATGGTCCATGAAGTCCATCTGATGTTTAAGGCTTTGGATGTGGTCGGTCTGGATTCAGTTCCTGCTTCTGCCATGTGCTTCCTGTGTGAGTGCAGACAAGATTTTTAATGTTTCTGTACCTAAGGTCTTGTCTATACTTACGTGGAGATCAAGGTTCCGGAGATCAATCTTCCGGGCTTTGATTTAGTGGAGCTGGTAAGAGCTAGCTAAAGCGAATGCTGAGGCCCTTCCCCTTCCCTGTCAACCTTCGTACTCTACAGGGTTATAAGGAATAAGAGAAAATGTCCCCCAACCTCCCACAGTGGGGCCACCCCAGAAATTCAGTTTAAGGTTAAGTTGACTTCTGCTATGCAATTCTCCTAACTGGAGGGCTGCGTCTAGACTGGCAAGTTTTTCCGCAAAAGCAGCTGTCTACACTGGCTAGCTGTCTACACTGGCTGCTTGAATGTGCGCAAAAGCACTGATGTTCTACTGTCCGAAATCAGTGCTTCTTGCGCAAATGCTTTGACGATCCCGTTCGGGCAAAAGCCCTTTTCCGGAAATGGTTTTGCGCAAAAAAGCCCCGATGGCGAAAATGGCGATTGGGGCTTTCTTGCGCAAAACTGTGTCCAGATTGGCACGGACACTTTTCCGCAAAAAGTGCTCTTGCGCAAAAGCATCCGTGCCAATCTAGACGCTCTTTTCCACAAATGCTTTTAACAGAAAAACTTTTCCGTTAAAAGCATTTGCGGAAAATCATGCCAGTCTAGACGTAGCCGAGTTGTGTATCTTAAATTGAATTGCTTTCCCAATGTAGACCTGGCCTAAGATTCCCAGCTGTAAAAGGGAATGCAGTATTTTTCTATATTACCAGGGTTCTGAGAGGATAGATTTGCACATTTATGAAGTGTCCGTAAATTACAGTGATGGATGCTGTGTTTGTAGACAGGCTGCAGAGTGAATATACCTAGCTGTGTCTGAGTGGCTGCTTCAGTCTTCTCAAGATTTCCGTTTACTGCTCTCATTTCTTTATGATGGTGGTGCTCCAGTAGTGCCTCAAATCCCTAATCAGCTCTGAGGCCTTCTTTCACTAGTCACTAAATGAACAAAAGAGAAGATGAGTGCTTCAGAGCTGGGACAAATAATCTAAAAAAAGGACAGACACAGGGGTCTCACAACAAACGAACAAACAAAATATCTTTAAAGTTGTTCTTTCTCCTCAGTTTTCCACATCCCATCCCTAATATACCTCTCTCCTATTTTTCTCCTCTTAGCTGCCCTTTGTGTTTCAATTGGGCAACAGTGATATTTTCTGTCACAGGACTGTATTTACATAATTTGCTATAATTAAAATACCATGCCAGGAAAAGTTGCCCAAACTTTACTTATCTCTTTCACTCAACAGCTGAGACATGGTTTAGGCTAGCTCTACACTAGACCTGACAGCTTTGCTTAAGGTACACTACTCCAGCTACACAGAATACAGTGCTGGAGTCGGCTTACCTTAATCCGAGTTTGGCGGCATCTTTACAGCAGGAGGTCAACAGGAGAGGTTTCCTTTACTCCTGGCATGAGCAGGAGTACTGGATGCCCACGGGAGCATCCTCTGAGTTCAATTTAGCTAGTCTTAACTAGATTTGCTAAGTCAAACTCCAGAAGATCGATGACAGCAGCATGAAGACATGGCCTTAGTGTTATTGTTTGGATCAACAGCTGTGAACAGTGACAGGCAAATACGAGGAATAGGATACACAGTCTCATACTACCAGTGAAACAGGACTTCTTACAGAAGAACCAGGAATGTCCAAAATACTGTAATGGATGATGAATTGGCACTTTGGGACAGCAA